AGAAGCAGGTCTGGGCCTGTATTACAGTGTTTAGGGTGAAAAACATCATAATGGCTGGAGTGCCAGGATGGCTCATTGGGTTAAGCGTCTGACCTGGTCATGATTTCACAGTTTGTGAGTTTGAGCCCTGTGTTGGGCTCTGTGCTGACGGCTCAGAACCTGGAGCCTGCTTCGGATTCCGTGTCTCCCTCTCTCTCTGCCCTTTACCCACTTGTGTTCTGTCTCTCTCTGTCCCTCAAAATATAAATAAATGTGAAAAAAAGAAAAAAACAAAAAAACATCATAATGCCAAACTTTGGAGTATTTACTTTCAACCAGTTATCAAAAGACTTTGTATGAATAGTTGCTTTTCTTAATTTACTTGATTTTAAAATTAAGGTGAAATATATGTAAAAAAAAAACTTACATTTTAATAATTTTAAAGTGTACAGTTCAGTGGCTGTAAGTACATTTCCATTATTTTGCAGCTGTCATCACTGTCTATCTCTAAAACTTTTTTCATCATCTCAAACTGGAATGCTGTACCCATGAAATAATGGCTTCTCAGTCCCTTCACCCCCAACCCCTAGCGGCTACCATTCCACTTTCAGTCTCTATGAATTTGCCTCTTCTAGGTACTTCATAAAAGTGTGCTTATAATATTTGTGCGTAATTATGTGACTGCCTTATTATTTTACTTAGCACAGTGTCTTCAGGGTTCATCCATGTTGTAGCATGTGTCCAACAGAAAGTTCTTTCTTCCTGAGGCTGAATCATATTTCACTGCACGTATATGCCACATTTGGCTTATCTGTTCATCTACCTATAGACACTTGGGTGGCTTCCACCCTTTGGCTGTTGTGAATAATGCTGCCATGAACATGGGTGTAAAATACTGTTGGAGTCCCTGCTTTCAGTTGAGTAATCACTTTATTTTTATTTATTTATTTATTTATTTATTTATTTATTTATTTAATATTTCTATTTATTTTTGAGAGAGAGAGAGAGAGAGAGAGAGAGAGAGCGCCAGCCAGGGAGGGGCAGAGAGAGAGAGGGAGACAGAGAATCTGAAGCAGGCTCCAGGCTCTGAGCTGTCAGCACAGAGCCCGACGCGGGGCTTGAACTTGGGAACCTCAAGATCATGACCTGAGCTGAAGTTGGACGCTTAACTGACTGAGCCACCTGTGCGCCCCTGAATAATCACTTTTTAATCTTTCTATACCAGACCCCTTTCACTTAGGAGTGTTGATTTGATAGTGAACTTCCCTCAGAAGCTATCCAGAAGCTTCATTTTCTCATCCTGATGAGAATAGAAGACTTTCTATTTATATCAATGGTAGCATTATAATGGGTGTCAGCCTTTCAGTAATTAGGATATTATGGTTGTGATTTTTTATTAGATTTTTGTATCCATTATTCATTTGAATCATCATAAAGTAGTATGTCATTTTTTCTTAAAATACCTGCTGTATTTGTTTAGCATATATAGTGCTCTATAATTTTAAAGATTGGGTGAAAAAGCATAGCAACCTCTATAAAAACACTTTTGTCTGCTTTTACTATGGAGTTTTATCCTACATACTTGGGTGTAATAGTTATTTAAGGCTTATATTTCAGGGAGTTAGCATATTATCAGTGATTTTCAAACTTTTTTGGTGTCAGGGCCACTTTTTAGTCTCCCAGATTGTTGAAGACCCACAAGAACTTTTGTTTATGTGCATATTAGCTATTGATATTTACCATACTAGAAATTAAAACTGAGAAATTAAAAAAGATTACTAATTCATTAAAAAAATAAACCTATTAAATGTTTTAAAAAATATGTGTCTTATGAAAAATTACCATGTTTTTTAACTGAAAACATTTACCCAGAAGAATAGCATTATTTTACTTTTTGGCAAAATATCTTTCATGTCTGACTTAGTGAAAGATAGCTGGCTTCTTATATCTGCTTCTGTATTCAATCTGTTGCAGTATGCTGTTTTTGTTAAAATATATGAAGAAAATCTGACACACAGATACGTAGTTGGAAAAGGAAAAAGTATTAAAAAAATTTTTTTTAATGTTTATTTTTGAGAGAGAGAGACAGGGTGCGAGCAGGGGAGGGACAGAGAGAGAAGGAGACACAGAATCCAAAGCAGGCTTCATGCCCTGAGCTGTCAGCACAGAGCCCAACGTGGGACTCAAACTCATGAACCGTGAGATCATGACCTGAGCCTAAGTTGGGCGCTCAACCGACTGAGCCACCAGGCGCCCTAAAAGGAAAAAGTATTTTAATAGCCTTTTCAGATAATCACGGATCTTTTTTCGATACCATACCAAAACTTAACAAGGTTAGTTTCTGAAAGGTCAGTAGCAATATGGAATTTTAAACATATCAGTGAATTTTTTTGTACTTGGTTAGATTAAAATCTTTTTGTCTTTCTTGCACCTTGGTAGCTCTTTTACTCCAGCATAATTTGTATCATCATGCGTTGGTCATTTGGAAAATACCGGTTCACCAAATTATATGAATTTTCTAAATACTGATATTCTATGAAATATGAAATACAGTATAAACAGTCCACGTCTGTTAATGTTCCCTCCAGTCACATGCAGAATGTCGCTAAATCATGGGGAGCTATTAAGCTCACAGTGATAGATCCTAGTTTCCCCACAGTTCTGATTTTAACTTGAAAGCTCAACTTTTATTACAGGAGGCAAAGGCTGTCCATTGTTTTTCTTAAAGTGATGTGCTGCTTTTGTTCATATTCGAGAAGATGTCTGCCAAACACCCAAGCCTGAATTACCATAATTTGCCAGTCATTCTTCCCAGTAAACATGGTATTCCACACAAAAGACCTTGGTTCAGTTTGCAACTTAAACTACAGCACAAGGGCTTTTCCCAGGGTCACTTTTGTACCTCAGTGGTCGGCGGGGGTGCCTTCTGAGTGCTCGCTGTTTTGAAACACAGAATATTAACCAACCATGTATTAGTGGTTGGGACTTAATGAAATTAATGATTTGTACTGCATCAAGAATATTCTTAAGTGAAGCTGGCGTATTTATTTATTTATAAAGTGGGCTCCACATCCATCACGGAGCCCAGTGCAGGTCTTGAACTCACAACCCCGAGATCAAGACCTGAGCTGAGATCAAGAGTTGGATGCTTAACCGACTGACCCACCCAGGTGCCCTGAAGCTGGCATTTAAAAAATTCCGACGAGTACTGGTACATTTTGGTACCAGTGCCTTCACTGGTGTGAAAGAGCTGAGGTTGACCCACTATTGCTTTTGTATCATTGATATAATTGTCAATATAGTAAGGAAGGCAAATAATGTCTTAGTATTATTATGAAAATAATTTTGACTCCATGGACCCCGTAGGAGGATTTCAGGGGAACTGACAGCTTACACTGTCATATTTAATGTGGATGCTTTAATAATCATGGATCATGATGTTAAATAGTTCAAAACCCGTGTATATACAGCTGGGTCTTGAGAAGTTGTGTCTGCTTTTTCATCTGTGGCTGCCCCAAGTCAGAAGAAGGACCAAGGCTATTATACAGTGGTATTAGCATTTGAGGAGGAGGAACATGGCATTAATTTGAACTCTATAGCGTTTGTTTTTACTTTTTTTCCTCAGGAACAAGTGCTTCCTTGAGAGGATTCCTGAGAGAATTTGGTTGTTTTGATTTATAGGCTCATACAAAATACATATACTGTGACTCATCTGAATTAGAGTATCTTAAGGAAATTACGTGTAGCTGCTTGCCTTGCTCCTGCCTGGCTCCTATAAACTTTTACTGAATATCTAGTTTACACTGAGCTTATGCCAGGAATGAGAAAGAGTGGTTCCCAGCCTCCAGGAGCATAGAGAAGAGTGCTTGAATGCAGCGTGATGAGCGCTGTAGCAGAAGTTAGTGTGAGGTGCGCTGGGAAGCTTCGCAGGACAGGAGCTGTCGCAGGTGGTTTTAAAGGAAGTGTGCTGGTGCCTGGCAAGGAGTGGAGACACGAAGGAGAGGAGAACATAGTGCTTTGGGGGATAGGGAGTGGCCAGACGCCACGGTGGTAACACAGGCAGGGCTGGAGCTGGAGGCTGTGGCCGGAGAAGAGAAGGGTCTTGCTGGGATTTGATCTCATAGACCAGAGGTCTCAAAGCCTAGTCCTCAGACCAGCAGCATTAACATCTCTGTGGAACTGGTTAGAAATTCAGATACCTGGGCCTGGCCTTTAGACTTTCGGTGGCAAGTATTCTGGGTGGAGGTAGTCTGTTTAACTAGCCCTCTAGGGGACTGCCTGGGCCAGGGGAGAACAGACCAGGCTCTTTAGGTGGCCTTGAAATTTAGAAAGGTCACCCTGAGGGCCCTCTAAAAGGTGGGACGGTGTGGGGAAGTTAGGGACCGTGTGTTTTTGTGGATGTGATGCAGGCCTGGACTGATGGCAGTAGGAAGGAAGAGAGGGTGGATTTGCTGGAGATGGATTCTTTAGGACTTTATTGCTCGTCCTGTTGCTAGTCAAAACCTGAGAACACGGCTGCTCTTGGCTCTGTGACCTGCGAGCAGTCAGGGATGGGGCTTTTCAAGGCCGTTGCTTCTTGTGTCTTCAGGCAACATCTTTTACCCATAGTGAAAAGATCAATTCAGATAACTTGCCTGCACCTCTTCAGTCTCCTTTTTGAGGTGCCTATGCAACTATAACTAGGATGATGGCCCCTGGAGGGATAAAGTTGCACACGCGCGACCCAGAGTCTTAGAAAGGATGGCATGGTGTGGGAGAATAGAGGGGAGGATTTCATTCAGACACACCCAGCTCCTAGCAAGTTGCATAAGTGTTACATGGCGTTCAGCCTCTTGTGTTGTGTGCTGTCCATAAGCTGGCTAGGCGTGCCCTTTTGCTATGAGAGTTTTAGCAAGCAGTAGCTCCACTTGACATCTATATATGTGTGTGTAAAGATGGGGCCTCCCAGTTTCTGTTCAGCTAGAACTTCTCTTCTTCAGAAGTTCAAGTTCTTTTGTTCATATCCTGTTTTGTTTTTACAGATTTGTAAGACTCCAGGGCCTTCAAGCTGTGATCAGTCAGACGGTTCCTGAAACGGCTGGGAAAGAGGTGCTTTGGTGCCCATCGAAGAGCGCATGTCTGTGCATATCTAAGCCCTTCTTTGTACACATACACGTTTACACAGGAAGACAGGCTCACTCTGGCGCACACTTGAAGAGTTTTACAACTGATGAAAATTAATGCAAGACTCAGATGGAGCAACCTGACGCTGTGGGGCTCAGGAGCCTGGGGGGAGGAGGACGCTACTAGTGGTCAGTTTTCCACACGCTCTTCGCGGTTGAAGAAAGTTTGCAGAAAGAAGAAAAGGAAACTTGCTCAGCTCAAGCCTCAGAAGCACCTCCCCAGGGTAAAAAGAGGGCTTGGTGAGAAGGTGGCCGGCAGTGAAGTGTGGCTTCAAGCAGCACAGGAGGGGTCATGCAGTGAGTTTTGCACTTTATTTTCTAGTGGTTTTGGTGATCTGGACAGACTTCAAAACTCTGGACTGAGAAGTAACTCTGGCTGTGTGGTCGTGACTTCAGGAAAGCAAGGTCAGGTATGATGGGACAAGTCTGAACAATGGACTGGTTCCTTTGCCTTTTTCAGTTAACTATATTCTCGACATTTTAATTTATTATTTCCCTTTTCCTTTTCTGTATCTATAGGGTAACATTTCAAGGTAGCAGTTGAAACCAGTATTTATAAAATAAATATCAAGGAACATCCAAGCAAAGCTGCTTTTCTTTGGACTGTACATGTGGCATTTGGAAGCAGTCTCTGAATGTGAGCAGGAGAGCGCCCATCAGAAAACATGCTGACTCTTTAGGGAACAGTCTGGAAGAACCCGACTCTTGCCTGTATTTTCATTTTAAGGGATTCCCTTCCCTGTTGAGTCCAAGAAGACTTGCATATAGGAGGAAGATTACTTGATGGACTTAATTCTGAGATTAGTCTTTTCCTTCAAGATGGAAAAATATGTGATCTTTAGGAGCGGAAAGGGGAGAGGCAAATAGGGAGGGAGGAAGGAGACGGGACAAAAGAGACAGAATCCTGTAGTGAGGCCCGCTTTTGGCGGCAAGAGGATTTAGGATTCACTCAAGGCAAACACTTGTGCCACTTAAAGAGCTTTAGAACCTTCTGGCCCTGCGAGTGAAGGGATTTTCTCTCTCCGCCTCCATGACACCAAGGAGTGCACTGGTTTATCGGGGGGAGGTCAGATGGAGCCCAGCTCCTCACCAGGACATAGCCACCTGCCTGCTGGGAAGTCAGGCCGGGCCCTGAGGTGGGAAGTTTCTGGTTCTGAACAGTGGCAAGAGTCTTTTTCTTCCTGAACTTGGACTGCTGTCTGCACAAATTCTGGTCTGTTTTTGCACGGTTTGTGTGCCTTTTTTCCCCTTTATGCAATCTTTTTCAGCTTCAGCAGCAGAAATTTGTCTAGTTGAGAAAACATGCCAGAGGGTGGCTTCAGAAGGAAGATGATCCCATGTGTTCTGTCTCTGCATCTGAAATTTTAAAGAGAAAATTCCAGCTCGAGGGATTCTTTAAAGCCTTAAGTTACTTGAAATCTATGTATTTGCAACCCTTTGTCTCTGGAATCATATTACACTAAACTGGAATCTCAGGCTGAACGAGAATAACCAAGTTGAGTTAAGAGAAGAAAACTTAGTTTCTTGATCGGCACATGTTAATGATGCTCTTCTTCCTCTAAGGACTTGAAAAGAAAAACAAACGCATGTTGTTTTTAAGCATTACCTTTTCTTAGCAGACTGCCATCATCTTTTCTAGAGGAATTTTTTCACTATGCATTTGGTGGATCTTTATAAAATACTGGCCTTCTGATTAGATCCAGGTCAGTCTTGATTAAAAGGGGTCAGGGAAAACAACGCAAGCCAACCACAAAAATCCAATCAACTAATGAAAAGAATTGGTTTAAGTTTCCTGGCATTCAGCATTACTATTTAAATAAAAGAGTTCACTGGAAAAAAGTATGTATGCAGCGGTGGAGCATGGGCCTGTCCTTTGCAGCGACTCCAACATCCTCTGTCTGTCGTGGAAGGGGCGCGTTCCCAAGAGTGAAAAGGAGAAGCCAGTGTGTCGGCGGCGCTACTATGAGGAGGGCTGGCTGGCCACAGGCAACGGCCGCGGCGTTGTTGGGGTGACCTTCACTTCGAGCCACTGCCGCCGGGACAGAAACACTCCCCAGAGAATAAACTTCAACCTGCGGGGCCACAATAGTGAGGTGAGCTGGGGCTTTGTTGCACTTTTGTCTGGTCACTTGTCGTGGTCTTTCTGAGCCCCCTCCCTGTGGATTCAGAATTTGCTTCATTTTCTCAACTTGCTGCCAAGGCAGACTTTTCAAACTCTGAATTCTGGTTTCTGTGTCCCAGTGGGAACATGTTAAGGTGGACACAGTTCCTGCTGGCCTGTGTCCCTCTCCGAGTATGTCCATTCTCTTGGATGCCCCTCACTCTCCTTTCCCACCGGCAGGGATACCAGTGCAGCTTTCTGCCCAGGCTGAAGCGGTTAGATTAGATGATTCTGACCAGTGTATCATGCGTGTCAGCCTTTTTGGTCACCCTGTATGCATAGCCAAGAGTTACTGGCCTGTGTCAGACTGGCAGTGTAAACAATGAAAGTAATGCCATCTTCACCTTGCACAGTTAAGATCTGCCTTGCTCCATATGATGTAAGTTTAACACCTAGCATGTATTTCTTGTACTTGGAGGTGCAAAAGAAAGGAATTCATTGGACAGAGGTGACAGAAGTAATTAATTGGACAAGAGCCATAGTGTTTCACATCTATTGGGTATATTATATTGAGGATATTATGCTGTGTATACATACATACATACAGGTACCTCTGGACTTCTAAAACATAAACTGTCACTACATGTGAAATTCATTCAACCAGTGTTTATTGAGCAATGTTTAAGTGTTAGGTACTGTCTTGAAAAGAAGAGATGTACTTACATAGCGTGTTAACAGAATTCATGCTTCACTGTTCAATAGCTTATTTGTTTTCTAAGGTGGAATCCATCATAAAGCATCCATATATGGCTATTGAATAGTTGTTGTAAAAGTGGGAGAATATTTTTGAAGTACATCATCATACAGTAAAGTGTATTCGTCTTAAGCTTACATCTCAGTGATCATTGACCTGTGCAGTCATCCACGTAACCTCCAACCAGATCAAGATGTAGAACATTTCCAGCATCCCTCACAGGTACCTGCTGGCCCTTCCCAGGTTGTGCACCCTGCTGAGAGGTGACCCAGATAAGTTGGGCCTGTGCTTGAACTTTGTGTTAATGTAAACTTCATGCTCATTGATCATATACCCTTTGTGTCTGGCTTTTCTCACTCACTGTGATATTTGTGAGATTCATCCCTGTTGTGTGTGCTATTAGTTTGTTCTTTTTGATTGATGTTGGTTTTCCATTCAAGGAAGAAACAATTACTCCATTCCTATATTGAAGAGCATGTGGGTTGCTTCCAGTTTTTGGCTGTTATGGCTAAACCTGCTCTGAACATTCATGTCTTTTTATGGATCTGTGCATGCACAGTGTAATTTTCAGGTCGTGGTACAGGTATACATTTAAATCACCAATTTTCCAAAGTGGTAGTGCCATTTTATGCCCCCACCTATCAGTATATGAAAGTTTCAGTTGTATAAAAAGCTTCTTTTGAATTTGAATTTTTCGTATAAAAAAGTTTCCGTTGTATAAAAAGCTTCTCTTGAATTTGAATTTGGTTGTATTTAAGGAATATTTTATGAATGCCTCTATACTTAACTGCACATACACACATGCACACATATACACATACATATGCATACACACACTTTTTATGCTTATGCCAAGCCTGGTCCTATTTTTGCACCACTGTGCATAGTGATGATCAACTTTATTTTTTTTAATGTTAATTTATTTTTTAGAGAGAGAGAGCGAGAGAGAGAGAGCAAGCACACATGAGTGAGGGGAAGAAAGAGAGGGAGACAGAGGATCATAAGCGGGTTCTGTGGTGACAGCAGAGAGTGGGATGTGGGGCTCGAACTCACAAAACCGTGAGATACTGACCTGAGCTGAAGTTGGACGCTTGACCAACTGAGCCACCCAGGTCCCCCAACGATCAACTTTCTTAAACTTAGAGATTTGACAGCCACTTTTGATTTAAAATCATTTTAGCACTGGGTGTTGTATGGAAACCAATTTGACAATAAACTTCATATATTGAAAAAAAATCATTTATAACAATACTGAACATATTTAAGGATCTATACACTAATTCTAGTGAGAAAATGGCTAATTTTGCATTAGAGCCAATGAAAAGTCACTGCAGATCTTTTTTTTCCTTCCTTATGGATTCTTCACAAAAGGTGAGTTGGTAGATTTGTGATCACTCCCTATGATATCATAATGATGGATGTAAAAGAGAACTGTGTTTTACTTCCCGGGGCGCTGGCATCTTCTTCCATTTCTGTTCCTTTGTTTCCATATGTCTGTTTCAAAAAGTTGTAGCCCTGTCACTTAACTAGTTGGTGTGGTCCTCTCCAAGTCACTCAAGTCATTAGTTTACACATAGTTAAATTGAAATAATAATTCTTTCAGAGTTGTTATAAGAATCTATCAGAATATTTTTGAAAGGGCTTTGAAAATGGTGAATGCCATGTATGTAAATGGTGATATTGAGTATCTCCTATACTCTCTTTACTTAATTATATTCTTTCCAGCCCTTGTAATGTTACTTAATACCCTTAAATTCTGTTACTAGTCATGAGGCTAGAGACAGCATTTTTAAAACTTTTGTTTCACAGTTAAGATTTGAAAACACATATGATTTGAGTCAGTAGATGCTTATTGTATCTCTGTCATGTTCTGGGTGCTGTGTGTACTTGCCAACATGGAGCAGGATAAGTCATGGATTATGCCTGATGGAGCCCACGGTCTAGCAGTAAAGGTGAGGTGTGTACCTGGATGTCTCTTTCTTCATGTGTTTCAGTTAAGCGTGGAAAGAAAGATTTGGGCCGTTCAAAGAATTAAGGCTGAGGTTTACCACAGATTTTGTTGTGAAGATGACCTTGGAATAGGGCTTTGAGAAATAGAATTTAGATAGTTTTTTTTTTTTTTTTTTTTTTTTTTTCCTGAGTGATGCAAGAAGATTAAGCCACGTTCTGGCCTCAGAGAAGTATTTTCTCTCTTTGTGACATGAAGGTGCTGTGTTTCCCTTGGCTCCAGTCTGAGCATGTCTGTATTTACCTTATCACATCACGTGTATCCCCAGGAAGATGCTTTTGGAGTCTGGCTGGATGACAAGGACAAGGACCTATATATATGTATTATAATCCCTGGAACAAATCCTCCATAGTTGACCGGCAGTTGGCATTCTTTGTTCTTTCCCCACTTACAGTGTGGAATGTTTATTGTTTATATATACACTCTGGTTTGTGATGGGGATTTTATTCCTTGGGGCATTCTGTCCCCTGATTAATCCAATGGCAGAAGGTTTAAGCAAGGTGCTGCCTTCATAGTCTGGCTGAACACAGTGCTCATGTGTAGCTGTTTCTGTGGTTAGTGTGTCACCATGCCGGCTGTACTCAAGTTTGAAAAGTTACATACTCGTATTCATGACCTGAGTTAAAGATAATCTGTTAGGGATTCACTTCATGTGGCTCTTCTGGTAAAGCAAGCATCTCTGTGTATTTGTGTGGGTGTGTTTTAGCATGCTAGGTGACTGTGTCTGTCTGCCTTCCCTTTTTGGACTTTTAAGTGTCCACCGTGTGGGCACATCGAACTCAGGGAGCATGGACCGCGTGCTGTTCTTTGGCTGTAGTCAGTGGTATAAGGCCCTCTTCAGTTGGGGCGGAAGTGGCTTGGGGCTGCCTTTAGAACTTTGGGTCTCTGGTGCTGTGCACAGGAGATTTGAAAGTTGTATAATTAAAGATACGAATTGCAAAGCCACAGTCCCTCAGCCCTTCTTCTACTTTTTCAGTGAAACTTGTACTATAATAAAAATGAAACAAACGATAGGAACTTAGCTAATTTTATATACCGGAAAGGAATTTAAAACGGTAAAATGTGCTTACTAGAGTTTGGTGGTTGGTCCTTTTTTTTTTTTTTTTTTTTAATTTTATTTATTTATTTTGAGAGAGACAGAGACTGTACGAGTAGGGGAGGGGCAGACAGGGAGGGAGGGAGAGAGAGAATCCCAAGTAGACTCCTCAGTCAGCGCAGAGCCCGAAGCGGGGCTCACACTCACAAAACTATGAGATTGTGACTTGAGCCGAAACCATGAGTTGGACCCTTAACTGACTGAGCCACCCAGGCGCTCCAGTGGTGGTTGATTCATTTTTGTCTGCCAGTGTTAGTAGTCAAGATTTTCTGAGGGGGGAAAATGGGATAAGAGGATCTTCTTAGTGAGACGGGGGGGGGGGGGGTGGAACAATATATAAATGAAGTAAATGTGGTATTTAAGAAATATATTTTTGGATTTCTGAAATGCAGTCATAGTTAACTTAATTTTCATGGTGAGGGATGTGTCTTCTTTTTTAGACTAGACTTGAAAACGTAGGTGGTGGATGTGCTGGGGTGCAGAGCATCTCAGTGGGGCAGAGGATGATGCCTTGGGGGCCACAGTGGCTGGTAATGCCTTTGCGGGGGATGGGGTTGGGGCATGAGCTGCATCTCAGAGCCCCTTTGGGTTCTGGACACATTTGAGAGCCCATGCTCAGCAGGCCACTGCTGGGCTTTGGCCCCACAGTGACCAAGGAGCAGTTCCTGCCCAGGTGACCTACATGTCAGAGGACTTGATAATGGTTTGTATGGAGATAATGTTGGTGACAGTTTATGTCTGTTATTTTATTGAACTCTTGCAACGACTCTCTACAGCTCTGTTTTATCTTCTACATAGCTGAGGAATCTGAGGTTCAGAGATGTTCTGAAAGTTGTCCCAGGGATAGAGCTAGATAATGACGGCAGACCAGGGATAGAGTTCATGCCTGACTGTTTTTCCTTCTGTAAGACACTGCTTCACAAAAGGTGAGCCACAGTGATCAGAGAAAGAGTTATGAGTAGCTGGCATATGTTCTGGATGGCGAAGAGTTTGGTGAAGTATTGGGGCATAGTGCAAGGCAAAGGCTGGACCCTGAGTAGTCATGATGAGGAAGCAATAGTGATGAATGTTCATGGAATGAAAGAAGGCAATACTTTTGGCTTTGGTTGCACTCTAGGACCATTAGAAGACTGT